AAGCAAAATATAATATAATTAAGAAATAGGGAAAATAAATAATAGATATAATAAAAGTGTAAATAAATAAAAAGAATTAAATTTGTTATTGATTAACTTTTTCATTGATTTAGTGACCGATTTGGTTATATATAATCGGTCACTGAATCGATCATCGATTCGGTCACTGAATCGGTCACGATTCGGTCACGATTCGGTCACGAATCGGTCACTAAATCGATCATCGAATCGGTCACTAAAATCGGTGACCAAGGAAATAGTGACCGATTCCAGTTGGTCACTATTTCGGTCACTATTTTAATTAGTAACCGATTTTGTAGATTTAGTGACCGAATTTTCGGTCACTATTTGATGTTTTTCTTGTAGTGAAGCCTTAGGAACTAAGCTTCATCTTAGCTCAACTTATCATCCTCAAACTGATGGACAATCAGAAAGAACCATTCAGTCCTTGGAAGATTTGTTGAGAGCATGTGTGTTAGAAGATTCTGGTAGCTGGGACCGATACTTATCTTTAATTGAATTTACTTATAACAACAGTTTCCATTCTAGCATAGGTATGGCACCCTATGAGGCATTGTATGGGAGAAAATGTAGGACACCTTTATGTTGGTTTGAGACTAGAGAAAATTTAATCTTAGGTCCTAACATGATTCAACAAACCACGGAGAAAATTAAGATGATTAGGGAAAAATTAAGAACAACTCAAAGCCGGCAGAAAAGCTATGCTGACAAGAGAAGACGACCCCTTGAATTCCAAGAAGGTGAACATGTATTCTTGAAAGTAACACCGACAACTGAAGTTGGTAGAGTAATGAAAGCCAAGAAACTCACTTCTCGATTTATTGGTCCCTATCAAATTCTTAGAAAAATAGGTCCTGTTGCTTATCAAATTTCCTTACCCCCTTTCCTTTCTAATCTTCATAATGTGTTTCATGTGTCTCAATTAAGAAAATATATTTCTGACCCTTCTCATGTAATAACGTCAGATACAATACAATTAAATGATAACCTTACATTTGAAACAATGTCTGTACAGATTACAGATATGAAGATCAAGCAACTGAGAAGAAGACAAATTCCACTAGTGAAGGTTGTTTGGAATGAAATTACTGGAGACACTACATGGGAATTAGAAAAGAAAATCAGGGAAATTTACCCCTATCTATTTTAGTCACTAAAAATTTCGAGGACGAAATTTCTGTAAGTATAGGGGAAATGTAATATCTCAAAAAAAATAATAAATTGAAAGATAAGGTTAACTTATCTTAATGGGTAAGTTTTATACAAGTCATTAATGATTTTAATGACTTCATTAAGAAAAAAAATAAATAAAAAAATATGGCTATAAAAAGGGATAGGGGGGAAGTTGCGGGAGAAAGAGAAAGAAAGGATAAGGGAGAAAGAGAAAGAAAGAGAAGGGAGAAGAGAGGAAAGAGAGAGAGAGAGAGAGAAAGAAAGAAAGAAACAGGAAGGGAGAGGAAGAAAAGGAGAAGATAAATCGTCTTTGCAAAATTTTGGTACCTCATCCGCAGTTCTTAAGGTAGGAGAGGAGAATATTATCATTAAATCTATTTTATTTTGCTTATAGTTGTGGAGTGAGATGTCCCTAACCTCATTCTATTTATTTTATTTTATCTCCAGTCTTGCACTGGTCCTATTTTACTTATCTCCAGTTATGTACTAGTCCTGTTTGTTTATTTTATTTTATCTTCAGTCTTGCACTGGTCCTATTTTAATTATCTTCAGTTATGTACTGGTCCTGTTTATTTACTTTATTTTATCTCTAATAATGCAACAATCCTATTTATTAATTTATAGTTATATTATTTAATTATTTTTTTATAATAATATCTATTTGTGAAGATTTGATGATATTGTAGATGGAGGTTGGACCTTAGGGATTTAAATGAGTAAATATCAACTGATAGAGTGATTAAAAAAAATTGGGCTTATTTATCCCGACTAGTCACTACAAATCTAATTTAAATCTTCATAAAATAGAATGTGTTGAAGAAGTTGAATATATATATATATATATATATATATATATATATATTATAAGATTGTATTATTGTAAATAATAAATGTTTTCACTTCCTATCGTGATCTTTTGTGCATGTTTTATTTAAACAACAACTTAAGTAGATGGAGGCGTCAAATATTCTAAATCCCTTTTTTGCAAGCATCACTGCCTTCTTTTCGGGAACTACTTGGAACACGAATGTTATAGACAACTCGGTTACTTTTAGAGGGACAAGATTTTCAATAATAACATTTGTATCCGATATGCACTTACAAAAAAATGCTTATTATCTACGGGTAAAATCTGTAAGTAATGACAAAAATCCGTAGGTAATGTCACTTTACCTACGGATTATAATCCGTAGGTAATGCACTCACCTAAACAAAATATTTTTATTTATTACAACCCCCTCCCTTATTTTTTATTATTACCTAGGACCCCCCTCCCCTTTATATTATATTTTTATTATTTATTATATTTTCGAAACTTTGAATTATTATTAGATTAAGAGAATTATCATTGGCGAATTCGAACCCGAGTACCTCGAGTTGGAGGTCGATACTCCAACCACTAAGCTATTAGGATATTTTGATAATAATTTACAAATAAATTATATTTATATTTATCCAGTGTAAATATATAAATATAAAATATATAAATATAAAATATATTTATATTTTGATATATTTATATATTTGTATTTATATATTTGTATTTATATATTTATATTTATATTTATATATTTATATATTTATATATTTATATATTTATATATTTATATATTTATATATTTATATATTTATATATTTATATATTTATATATTTATATATTTATATATTTATATATTTATATATTTATATATTTATATATTTATATATTTATATATTTATATATTTATATATTTATATATTTATATATTTATATATTTATATATTTATATATTTATATATTTATATATTTATATATTTATATATTTATATATTTATATTTATATATTTATGTATTTATGTATTTATGTATTTATATATTTATGTATTTATTTATATATTTATGTATTTATTTATTTATGTATTTATTTATTTATGTATTTATGTATTTATGTATTTATCTATTTATGTATTTATGTATTTATGTATTTATGTATTTATGTATTTATATATTTATGTATTTATATATTTATATATTTATATATTTATATATTTATATATTTATATATTTATATATTTATATATTTATATATTTATATATTTATATATTTATATATTTATATATTTATAAATTTATATATTTATATATTTATATATTTATATATTTATATATTTATATATTTATATATTTATATATTTATATATTTATATTTATTTATGTATTTATGTATTTATATATTTATGTATTTATCTATTTATATATTTATGTATTTATATATTTATGTATTTATACATTTATCTATTTATCTATTTATATATTTATATATTTATGTATTTATGTATTTATATATTTATGTATTTATTATATACATTTATGTATTTATGTATTTATGAATATTTATGTATTTATGTATTTATGTATTTATGTATTTATAGTATTTATGATTATTTATGTATTTATGTATTTATGTATTTATGTATTTATATATTTATGTATCTATATATTTATGTATCTATATATTTATATATTTATGTATTTATGTATTTATGTATTTATGTATTTATGTATTTATATATTTATATATTTATATATTTATATATTTATATATTTATATATTTATATATTTACACGAATAAATATAAGTATAATTTAGTTGTAAATTATTAGTAGAATATCCTAATAGTGTAGTGGTTGGAGTATCGGTTTTCAACTTTAAGGTATTGGGTTCGATTCTTGCTAGTGACAATTCTTTTAGTTTAATATAATTTACCTACGGATAGTAATTTCGTAGGTAATGTACACTTTACCTACGGATAGTAATTACGTAGGTAATTACCTACGGAATTATCCACGGATTACATTACATACGGATATTTTTGTAGTGATGGGAAATCCCATTATGTTAGATGGACCAGTAGTGATTACCTTTTGTATGTCTCTTACCTTTTTCCAAAACCCCTTAATCAGTTTGTTTCACCAAGCAATGTAGATACTTGTAAAATTGTAGAAAAAAAAAAGAAGAAATCAAAAATAAAATTCCTTATTCTTTTGTATATCTTATATAGTGATGTAAATTACTTTTACATATATCTAATATTTTTTTACTTCCTATTCTTATACAAATAATAATAAGAAAAAAAATGTCACAATTACCAATATATTGGAAATTCATCCATGCAACCTATGACAATAATTGTTAATAATATTACTCACAATCCATTATAATATGATTGAAAAAAGTAGGTTAAGGTGGATAAATTTTTTAACCAAAGAAAGAAAAAAATTATATGATTGTGATAATTCAATCATAAGACCAGTTAACTGATATATTAACAAACAAAGATGGTCTCAGTTAAGTTATTCTCAAAATATCTCGACAAATGAGAATTATATATGAGATTGATTTATTTATTTTTACAAAATATCTATATTCTTGACATTCGTAATATTTTTTCCATTCTATTGTTTTAATCCTTTAAAGTTTAACCGATGTGATTTATTTTTTATATAAAAATAAATTAAAAAATAATTTTCTATTTGTATATATCTTTTTGATATATGTAAGAGAATACAACATTTTGATGTTCAATATCGACGTTGCGAGTCATGATCGTCACATTCAATGAATGTTCAGTGAACGTATCTTGTTTTTGTCTAAACCACTTGTAAGAAGCGGTGCCTTTGTCTTAAGAATAAATCGCTTGTCTTATAAGAAGTAGTGTCTTTGTCTTTAGAAGAAACCACTTGTCTTGTAAGAAGAGGTGTTTTTGTCTTTAGAAGAAATTGTTTCAATATTTTTTATATGTTTTTCTTTTGTCTTTGTTGGAGTACATCGACACAACTCACCCAATATTAAGAACGTGTTTGGATGTTCACGCTTACGAGATTTTGCATCTTCCTTTGGTCGTGTGAATAATAGTCACCCCTTTCGTCAGTCGTTATTAGGTTCGGGAAAATATTAAATGCTAAATGCTCCTTACACTCATGCCACAGGGAGAAGAAGTTTTCTGCATTAATCTAAAGCAATTAACATATTATTCTATCAAAAATATTAAACTAATCTTAAGAAAAAACAATAATTCAAGCAAGTACATGAAAATATTTTTAAAAAATAATGAATCTAAACTAATAAAACATGAGTACAGAAAAGTAAATTAAAACAAATATTTAAAGGAAATTGTGTAAATAAATTGGCCTAAGAAATTACATGAACAAATTATTGATTCTTCATTCGTCCACTTATTTTTTATAGACAGATTCATAACAAATGTACGGAGTAATCTTATCTTATACCGAACAATCCCAATTTATATTTATTGTAATGAATTATAAACAATTAAAATCGTTAGTCATAAAATCTAAAAAAAAAATTAGAGTGCATTTGCAAAACTAGAAAACAGTAAAATTGTGAAAAAGTAGAAGAAGAATAACAATAAAATATAATAATTAAATGAAAAAGATAGAGAAGAAAAAATAAATATGATTTAAAATATCTTGAATTTATAAATTGTTTCAAACAGTAAAATTGTAAAAAATAGAAGAATAACAATAAAATATAATAATTAAATGAAAAAAGATAGAAAAAAGGAAATAAATATGATTTAAAATATCTTAAATTTATAAATTTTTAGAAACAATTTATACAATATTCATAATTTGAATTTGAGAAACTTAGCTAAGAACAATAGAACTAAATTTTATTTCTAGAAATTATAAAAATGAAATATAACTTATGTATTTTACTTTCCCCACATTTTTATATACAATAACATATTGGAACTTGGATTGCAATTTTGCATAAATAGATTTTGTGACAAATTCGCTCCACAACTACTTTTGCGTGAACTAAATTGTAAAATTTGACCTGAACTCTCTTACATGATTCACTGGGAAAAAGTTCCTCTACGCTAAGTGAATTTTTTAATAATTTAACTCTTTTTTTCTTTAATTTATCAATTTTATATTAATAAATAATTAGTTAAATTTATGAATTAGACAATAATTTAAATATACAACTGTGTATTTTCTTTTTTTAAATTTATGTTAATAATAAATTATTAGTTAATTAAATATTTTAATTATATTAATAAAAATACTGATAAAGTGTATTTATTAGTCACTGTACAATTTGACAAGGTGGAGCCTTTTTTTAAGGCATTTGCTTTACCATATTTATTCATTAAGTTTTTCTTATGCAGTTAATAACTAAAGTTTCATACTTTAGTGTTGCTTCAAGAGGCGTTTCATACAAATCTATCAACCATATATACAAAAATAATATGCAATTTTGAAGAAAATATACTAAGATGAATATTTAGATATGATGGTACTCAGTGACAGATCTTGACCATTAATCTGGGGTCAAATAATATATTATTAATAAATAATAAATAAATATAAAAGGAAGAAAGAATATGAAAGGTTGAAAAGATAAAATTGTAGATATATACTTAAATATATTAAATTATTATTAAGTTTGAGGGAAACAAAATCATAAATTATATGAAAGTTACAAAACTGAGGAGGGAATGAGAGGATAAAATTGTAAATATACAAGTAAATATATTAAATACTCATTATGTTTGAGGGACTAAAATCATTAATTACATGGGAGTTACAAAACTTTGGAGTCACGGTCACTATATGAGTTTTAATATATTTTTCAGAAGAAGTTAAATGTCAAAGGCGGCCTCACAATCCCTTTATTAAAATGTATTTCAAAAACACAAGTTGAGTACGTCTAAGAAAAACTATACGACGGAGTTTACGATGTCGGCCAAGGTTCTTCACATGCCGGATATTATTGGTCGCAACAATTGCTTTAAACAGGTCACGAATGTCAAATACATAAACATATTTTGCATGCCAACCCGAAAGAGTTATATATTTTGTCTCCATGATTTACCTATCAACATTGATTCAATTCGTTTATACGAGTGTCATATTAGAATTAGAGGTGAAATTAAGAATAATTTATATACACTACTTCTTTTGAATTATCAAATATAACGAAAATTTTAAAATAAATAATACTTAAACATCTAGCATTTAATAATCACTAATAACAGGAAGCAGACTATTTACAAAGGACTTAGTCAAATTCTACTTGGTTTGAGTATAAAGCATAAGACAAGTTTACTCGAATACCCAGAAACAGAGGTAGCAAATGGGATAATTTTGGGAGAATTAAAAGAAAAGATTGAAATGCACAAAAGACGTGTGAAGCAAAGAGTTATTAAAGGTCTTGTAGATATATCGAAGCACAGATCTTGTAGAAGAAATAAGATCTCAGTCCACCATCCGAAAAGTTGCATGTAAACACCGTGTAGCTTGCAATTACAATTCAAAAGTCAAGTTGAAAAATTTTCATTAGAGACCTTGCGCTGAGTTAGAAATAATACCATAATAAACCTCCGAGATGGAAAGTTAGAAATTTCATGACAGACTAACATATAAAACTTCATTATATAAAAATAAATATATTATATTATTAATTAAATTGAAATTTCAGAAAATAAATTTTATTTCATCTATTTTTTTAAATAGTCTATAATTTTATTTTTAGTATCTTAAAAACTCAAGCTAATTTTTTTTTACATATTTTAACATTAAAGTAAAATATTATAAAATATTAAAATAATTAATTAATTTATAATTTTAACTTTTTTTTTATTGAAAATAATGTTATACATTTTTATGTACTGAACTTATAATCTAAAATTTTAATATTATTTCTCATAAATTTAATTTAATAAATTTTAAAATATTTTAACAATATTTTTTTATATTAGGTATTAGATTTATAACTCAAATTCTATATTAAATCTATAATTTATAAATATATTTTTCTATTAATTTATTAAGATATTTTTTAATGATAAAATTATAATGAATTATAATTTTAGAATAAATAATATCCAAAATATTATCATATTCTAACAATATTAAAATTAAGAATAATAATTTATAAATATTTTTTTCTTTAACATATCTACGTGTTTTAAGAGAAAATCTCAATAGATTAAAATTTAAAAATAAAGAATATCCTACATCCAATTATTAACCCTTAAAAATATGAGTTAGGATGTTTTACATCTATAAGAAATAGATTAATTATATTTTTCATCTAAATTCACATTTTTCTATTCAATATCTCTTTTGTTTTTGGTATATACGACCCTTCGTTTGGTAAAAAGAATAGAAAGAGATGAGTTTGCATGTCTATTTTCCACGTATTTGTCTGACAAAAAAGAAGGATGACCACATGTAGGAGTGTGCACGCGAAACGCATGTAGGCATTGGAAAAACAGTTGTAAAGTTATGATTGGATGGTTGACGATAGTAGTCTGACAGATCTCAGTGGGCCCTATTAAAGATTCCAGAACGCAGAAGAGTCACGTGGGGAAGCCCCACGCACGTTGGAGCCTTTATATACCTTTTAAAGTATATTGAAATAAAGATAATTTGGTTATGATTTTATTGTTTAAATAATATTTGACACAAAAAATTAAGATAATATCAAGTTAAAATTGATAAAAAATTAAAACTTTTATTAAAGTATTGGTGATTCAATAGTCACTGAAAATTACAGTTATATAATTTTATTAAATTCATTTAAAATATATATATATATATATATAGAATAGTGATATATTAGCTCCGACATTTTCATAAAAAATGGAATAATTTTTATAAATAAAATAAAGCAGTCATTTCTTTACGCTTAATAACATTATCTAAATAGTACTCACTATTTTTCTTTTAATTTTGATTAAAATAGTAATTATGCTTCTCTGTTTTTTAAAAATATTTATATTCCTTATATTTTTAGAAATAATTTTTATTCTATTATATTTTTTTATAAAGTTCTTATTTTGTTTAAAAATAACATATCAACTAACATTAAATTAAAAATTATGAAAATTAAAAGTTAAAATTTGAAGATTTTAAATCTATTTTTTATGAATAAAATTTAATAATTTAAGTATGGAAAATTTCATTCACCCTCCAAAATTTTGTTAGTTTTCAAATTAATATCATATTATTTAAAAACTAAGGCTTAAAATTAAGAAAAGGTGAAAGAGAAAAATATGAAAGTGAATGAATAATAAAAATAAAAGAAAGAAATGTGAAAAAAACAAAATGAGTGTTATTGGTAGAAAAAATTGTAATAAAATAATAAAAAGGTGAGAGAAGAAAAATACAAATTTAAAGATAAAACGAAAAGAAAGAAAAAATTTTAATTGAAAAATTATCCAAAAATATTGATTATAAATGAAAAATTAAGAGAATAAAAGATAATATTTCAATCAAGGTGAAAACGAAGAAAACATGAGAATCGAAGCAAATTTTGTGGAAGAAACAAGGATAAATGAATATTTGACATTTTTATCACAGACATGTAATATTTTTTATTAGTACTAATTGGATGACATTGGACCAAAAACTCCTTAATTTTGGAAAACTGAAGACCAAATGTGTAATTATTTTTATAGGGACTAAAATTGCGTATTCTTAAAACTGTAGGGACCAAAATTACACATTCTTAAAACTATATGGACCAAATGTGTAATTATATTTTTAGAGACCAAACAAAACCTAACAGGATCCAAACTATACACTAAAAATTGGTCAGGAGTGAAAGATAAAACAGACGGAGATTTAGCAATATTCCAAGTGTTACACATACTTTAACCAGCAAGCCAATATATGTATACTCACGAAAATATTTTGATTACACTGATAAAAAAATAAAATAATATACATGTTAGTAAGTTAATATAGTATAATTAACTCATATCAAATTTCTAAAATAATACAATTATAAAAACGTATTTATTATTATATATTTTCTCTAAAAATAATAAATAGAAGATAAATGAAAAAATAAATTGATGTAAAATAATAAAAATTAAAATTGAATTGTAATAAAATATTAATGACAAATAAAATTAAATTGAAAAAGAATTTAAATAACTAAAATTTGTAAAATTAAAATAAATTACTTTTAATTAAAAATATAAAATCAAAAATTGATTTAAAATAAAATAGTGAAGTAATTAAAATTAAATTGAAGTAGAATTTAAATAACTAAAATTTATAAAATTAAAATAAAATATTTTTAATTAAAAGTGCAAAAATAAAAAATTGTTTTAAAATAAAATAGTGCAGTAATTAAATTTAAATTTCTGAAAGCAATAATTCTAAAACTAAATTGAGAATTGGAATTAGAAAAAAAGATGAATTGAAAATAAAAATTAAGAGTACGGGAAAAAAAATTTAAACAATTAAATAGCAAAAATTAAAATGAACACGGAATGAATAAAGTAAATAGAACAATATAACCTAGAAAATTTAATAGAAATTACAAATTAAATAAAAGAGAATAAACCGGAAGTACAATAGCAGTAAATGAACTCGCATAACTAAAAACTAAGAACAAAAAATAAAATGGGGATGAGACTAAACAGCAGTTCAGTCTAAAGCAAGAATTTGTGATCATGTTATCTCGTGTTTATAGAGGATTAAACAAGAAAAATTAAGGCTAAAATTAATTACAATAAAATCAAATGTTTCTCAATAAAAAATTATAAAATTGGATTACTGTGATTTTAACATTGATTTGCATTTAATTCTTGATTCCTGCTCTTTAATTCAACTAAATTGGATTCTTGCATCAGTTAATTTGCTTGCTTTAAAATTTCGATTTGTAACGTTTTGTCAATGAGCTACGAAGCAAATTTAGGTGTCAAAGAATAGTGAAACTTGACTGCATCAATTTAGACATTTATTTTCATCAATTTGACCCATCTCAAATTATTTTCTCCTATAAAAGAAGAAAAAAATATGTAATGTGAATATATGTATATATATTATTTTTTTTATACTAAAATTATGTATAATACAATAAATTAAGAAAAATTGAATTATGATATTTTTTATGAAAACATATTAAATATATTATTCATAAAAAAAATAATTAACTTAAAAAATACTCTGAAATAAACAAATAAAAAATAAAATGATATAGATCATTTACCAGTGAAAGAGTGAGAAAGAAGGTAGGCAAAGTAGTCAGAACCGCGAAGTTGATTTCATTTGCCCGTGGAATCTGGTTCAGCTCTAGCATTGCCCTGACCAAAATATTATCTTGGGAATTAAAACAATGTGAGTATTCCTTAAATGTTTTTATATGCATATAAACTAACGTTTCGGTATCCAGCTTGAGCTTCTGAACCGTGAAGAATTACGTTAAAACTACTTAAACCGATGTAACATATAACATATGAATTATATTACCTGAATAAGTATAGGCCGAATCAGCTCCCCATTAAGAAGGTTTTGAATAGGATGCATGAGTTCCTTCTCATACCTGCATTTATACTTGAAAAAAAATTAGATCTTAACACATGATTGTCGCCGCCTCCCCGAAGAGGGGGCGCGGTCGGAGCGACGCGATGGTTTTTCGACTCTCTTGTTTTCGCGTTTTTATGGGTGGTTACAACGTCCTTAAGTTGTCCGATAACCGGGCTAACCTAGAGACGAGGTTTTCGAAAAGTGTTCTTGGGTTGCCCGATAACCGGGCTAATCCAAGAACAGGTTTTGAAGGGTTCGTGGAGTCGCCACCGACGTTTTTACCGGAAACATCGGAAAAGGGGTTTTAAAAAGGCGTTGGTTTTCGAAAACCAACTTTGATCATTAGAACCAGAGTTGGGTAAGGGAGTTAGTTACGTGTAAAGGAAGTGTTAGTTCCTTTACGACGCCCCTTTCGGGTTCCCTATGATAGGCTGGCTAACTTGAATAAATAATTAAACTGGAAAATAGCGCTTTTACCTTTTTATTATGCGGTATTTAAATTTATGACTACATGGCCCTAGATTCTATTACGTAATTTAAATGACAGTAATAAGAATAGAGAGGGAGAATATGCACCTCCAAAGCAAGCTTTTGTATTTTCTTTAAAGAAAGGGTGCGTTTTGGCAACCCTTCACTCTACAACTCTCAGAAACTCCGGAAATGCCTCGGAGGGATTCTTAGAGAGAGAAATTCTAGAGAGAAGGGAGAGCTCTTGCTGCTGGGTGTCCTGAAAGGGAGAAATGATGCCCCTATTTATAGTTTTTCGCGCCTGACAGGTCGAGACCGCCGTCTCCTCTGACAGGGTCGAGACCGCCGTCTGGAAAGTCCAGACCGCCTTCTCGTTCGAGGCAGAGGGTCGAGACAGCCGTCTGGAAAATCCAGACCGTCGTCTCGACTTGGCAGGAATCGAGACCGCCGTCTGGAAAATCCAGACCGCCGTCTGGATAATCGAGACGGCGGTCTCGTCCTGTCGCTGAGACGAGATGGCGGTCTGGTATTTCCAGACGGCGGTCTCGTCCCTTCAGGGCGAGAAACTTTATTTTCGGGCCAAAAAACCTTCCTATCTTGGTATGGGAGCCTAATAGTCTCTCCTAATGACTTGTTAAGCTTCGGTCGTCTTCAAATAGGACGCTTCTTGACTTTATTCTGAGGTCGGACAAGATTTGGGGTTTACAATGATGAACACCAATATTAACATAAGACAAATATTTTTGAGACAATTTTATCAGTTATGAAAAAAATAATTACATAATTTTAGTTCTCAATTAGCTGAAAATAAGAGTCACAATATCATGCAAGACACGCCTTTGGCAGCATATTGACACCAATATATCCCTTAGTAAAAATTATTTAACCAAACTTACAAGTAATCACTGACTTTGTCATTATTTGTCTTTGGATGTTTAAGTTGAAAAGTAGCAACATGTGTATTGGTATTTTTATGGATGAGAATAATTCTAAAGATTACATGCAAAGCTTTGGTATTTAGTGTGACATTGACTTTTTTTGAATATTTCATAAACTAGATGGAGCATAGCATGAGTTTTGTTGATGTTTGTTTACCTTAATTATAATCCTGTTGATGATGGTTCCATGCCTTGGATATTCCAATTATATTTACACAAATTTTGTTTCATATATACTTTGCCTCACAATTCTCTCATAAGATTGTCCCAAGTAGTAGTTCCCTTCATATATTAGAAGCTATAGCCTTAGATTGATTTCAATAGCGTAGGAAATGTAACCACCCTAGAAATCGCTACTATAATGATGTCTTCGCAAAGTAGTAAATAAGTAAATAACAACATCTATTTTACATTATATTATTGTAATTGTAACATAGATTGAAATTCTGGTTCACTAACGAAACTTCAAAATATAGTAACATAATTTATTTATATATTATACATGTAAAAGTAGCTCCCTCGAAGCTATCCCACTGAACTATCGCTGTTGTCCAGTAGTCACATCTCCATCTCTCAATTCCTGATCTGCTCCGACATAAAAGTGATCATCGCAGTCCCATCCACATGGAAAAATAAGGGTAAGTATTAAATCATTCGATATAATAAAACAGATATAAAAGTAATAATTATATATTATGATCAATTACGAAATTATCAACACATTAAGACACCTTCCGGAAGTATACCCTAATTATGTCCGAACTCAGAGACTATCATCTGTGGGCACATTGTGATCGGTACCCGCAGTACCATTCAGACCACCCTCCACACAGAGTAGGATTACTGGCGCCCTTCATCACTCATACTGGAGTACCCCTCCGAGCGCGCCACCAGTCATCCCCCATCGACTTCTCACCACCTGATCTCGTAGTCTACCTGACCCAACCAATCAGTGAAGTCTGGGACCTCATTTAGAATCATCCGACATAGTTATTACACTAAAGTACTCGGTACCACCTCGGGTACCATTCAAACACAACAAAAATCATTCACATTTGCCGGATTCTGGACCACCTGTCCTCACAGCTCATTCAAGTCAATAATTAATAGTACTTGACTGATTCTGGGCACCAACCCTCTGGCTCAGTCTAGCCAATACATAACATCTCATGACTGATTATGGGCATCGACCCTTAACTCGATCGACTCACACACGTTACAACACACTACAAAATCTTTAAAATTGCTACATTCATTCTATATTTTAAATATATATATATATATATATATATATATATATATATATATTTTTTTTTTCTAAAATCATTTCAGAAATCATTTCAGAAACTATTTCCGAAACCATTTCCGAAATCATTAAATTACTATTTTGCCCTTAATCTTTTCTTAAAATTCCATGTATGTCCCTAAATGACTATTTTACCCTTGGACATTTTTGAAAATTCCTTCCATGTCCCAAAAATGACTATTTTGCCCTTGGACATTTTCAAAAATTCCTTCCATGACCCAAAAATGACTATTTTACCCTTGAACAATTCAAAAATTCCATTTATGTCCCTAGGATGTAAAATGACTATTTTGCCCTTGAACATTTTTGAAAATTACATTTATGTCCCTAGGATGTAAAATGACTATTTTACCCTTGATCTTTTTAAAAAATCTCCACCATATCCCTTTCTTCTTCCTTCGCCCAGTAACAATATCGAATTTTGCAGATTTTGGCAGATTTCAAATTACTCAGTTTTAGACAACCAAACTAGTCCCAAATCGAAATTAAACATGACTTATATCTAATTTAAGTTGAAAACAACAATTTTACCATATAATTCACCCTTAATTTTTAAGAATTTCAAAAACTTTCAAACCATGAACAGTGTATCTAAAATCAGAAATTCTTCAAAATCAAACATTCAAATAATTCATATCTCTACTCTTATTCCTTATTCACAGGGTATTCACAGAGTACCCAACAATTTAATTTCATATATTGAATGAATTAAACTTCCCCTTACTTGGTGTGGTATTTCTACCGAAACTTTCCCACTTAATTCAAGCTCTCTCCCGTTTCACCATATCTTGTACGACTAGAGTCTCGTTGCTTGAAATTTAGACAATAGAAGAAGAAGAATGAGGAACATATGATATGGGAGGAAGAATTTCTCGCAGAAACCATTCCTCCCCCCTTCGAACATATAAAAGAAAAAATTTTACTGTGCATGAGTAAAACTTCGTTACGAAGTTTTCTTGCACAGTAAAAAGCATACGTCACAATCTCCCCTCCACAAAAATTTTCGTCCTCGAAAATGAACTTACTTGGAAATAGATATGGATAGGAATCTCGCATCTGATCCTCCATCTCCCAAGTGAAGTCTCCGGATTTATGATCCCATACTACATTCACCATTGAGATGATTCTACCTCTAAGTTACTTCAGCTGAGAATCATCTATCCTCACTGGTCTCACATCCACGGAGAGATCGTCTCTAATCTGCACATCGTCTGACTCTAGGACATGACTGGGGTCATGTACATATTTCCTCAACTGAGATACATAAAATACATTATGCAGATTCGTCAAATGAGGTGACAACGCTAACTGATATGCCACTGGACCTACCTTCTTTAAAATCTGATATGGGTCAATAAACTTGGGAGTCAACTTCTTAGATTTAATTGCCCTTCCTACTCCAGTAGTAGGTATGATTCTCAAAAATACATGGTCTCCCCCCTCAAATTCCAAAGGCCTCCTCCTTTGGTCTGCATATGAATTTTGTTTACTCATAGCTGCTCTCAGCTTCTCTTGTACCTCTCAGACCTTCTCTGTAGTCTGCTGGAGTAGCTCAGGTCCGATCAACATTTTCTCCTCATCCTGATACCAACATAAAGGTGTTTGACACCTCCTCCCAAAAAGAGCCTCATATGGTGCCATTCCGATACTAGCATGATAGCTGTTATTATACGTGAACTCTATTAATGGAATGATATCATCCCAACTTCCTACATTATCCAACACACAAGACCTCAACAAGTCTTCTAGTGACTGGATGGTCCTCTCTGACTGTCCATCTGTCTGGGGGTGATAGGCTGAACTCAACCTAAGTCGGGTACCTAATGCCTCTTGTAAAGTTTGCCAGAATCTTGAAGTAAATCTAGGATCCCTATCTGAGACAATGCTAGATGGTACCCCATGTAATCGAACAATCTCGCGAATATATAGTTGTGTCAGTTTAGCCATAGATATCTTCAGATTTACAGGGAGGAAATGTGCACTCTTCGTCAATCTGTCCACTATCACCCAGATCGAATCGTGCCCCTGAATTGTCCGTGGTAATGTGTAACAAAATCCATG